TTCCGCCCACGCGCGCTTTGCAAAAGGCCCCCATGTAACACCAAGCGCGCCCTGTCAAGTATGCGCTGCGCAAACGTGTTCCGTGGAATGCAATATGCAAAAGTCTGCTTTGTGTCAGCCTGAGCTAAAGCGTGCTACTATTTTTTCTATCTGCCCTGCAACCTGCAGTTTAAGTTTGCTCTGCACATGTGAGCTGTAGCTCTTTTGTGGCATGCTTGCTTCGTGTAAATCTGCTCTGTGCGTGCGCTCCGTGCAGAAGCCGCAGCTTGAACCAAGAGAATCCTTTGAAACTATTCTGCGAACACTGATGTTGCTGAAGGGATGTCAGAACCTTCTTCTCCTGCGCAGATTCATGATTTCACTCTGCAAGTACCAGTCCTCCGCAGGGGCAGCAGCAGCCCAAAGGAGACAAAGTCCAAAACAGAAGCCACAGCACCTTCATTCGGAGACACGAAGCATGACAATCATGCCCCAAAATATAGGCAAGTCGACATTATTGAGTCTTCTGGCGAAGCTGTTCTGCCAGGCCTGGCTGAGCAGGTCCACGTGGTGCCGGCGACAAGTCAGGCCTGGTTGAACAAGCAACAAAGCAGGAGTCACTCCGTCAGGACGTGATTGTTCCGGCTCAGCACCAGGCCCGGCAAAGTCCAAAGCCGGAGCAAGGAGGCCTAACACATCCCCTCGTGTGATTTCTGTACTACATAGTGGTCAAGGAGAACCAATGCATTGACCTCCACTGTACCTCTTTAAACAAGCTTCAGCACAACCTGCATACATGACACGGCGAGGCACACAAAATAGTCAACCCTAAGCCCCCAGCCAGTGCGGCTAGAGCTTCTAGCTGCAAGAGCCACTTCAAGTTGCGTATTATCCGATGCAGACGGCAAAAGTCCAGACCTTTGACTGGTGACTCATTCGCACCACTGCTCGCTATCTCTCTCTCTGTCTCTCTCTCCCTGCAATCAAGCCCGCGGCCGTCCACACCCGAGGAAGAAAAGCGATGCGCCCAGTCAAGCCGACTGTCGAAGCAGAAGAGAGGAACCAGCAGCACTGTAGCCTGCCCACATGCACCGGCAACTCGCCCACACTTGTGGCAGGCATCACTGTGCTCACACAAAGTATACTGCATTTCGGGTCCGCCTGGGACTGGTGCAACAAAACCGGGTCAGGCGGAGGTTTGTGAAGCTGCAGGCGAGCCAAGCCTTGCAGCCCATTCTTTTCTCGGCAAACGCCGAGTGTGACTTCACGTAGCACAGAAAAGGGGCATCTCAGGCAGAAACATTAAAAAGTCCACGGCAGAGGGCGAGCTATCGACATGCGACAGCCCACAAGCTGGCAAGGAGGAGCCCAATCAGGCCATCCTGATGAGCACAGTTGACAGGCTTGACTCTGTGCTGCAACATGAGATGGCAGCTCTGAGCGCTCTCCTATGCGATGGCAGCAGCAGACCCAGGCCAGCCACGTCCAACGCAGCCAGAAAAGTGCCTAGATGGGTCAAGGCCATGACCGCCAGGGAGGCGTCCGCACGTGCGCAGCCTCGGACCAGCGTGTCTAAGTCATGCACCGGTTGTGAAGTCAACCAACGTGGGCTGGGCTCAGAGAGTACGCGAGTCCAAGGTGGCGGCTATGTAGTGGCAAGCTTGGCGCGAGGTGCGTTGAGTCAAGAGCGGGCACCAATAGGTCAAACCTGCAAGAATCCAGCAAGGTGTTTCCGCATTCCTTCACAGAGCCGACCTGCCTTGCAAATGACCTCGCTGGCATTGTCGATGCAAGATTGGAATAACCTTGCATTGCAAGTAAGTGTTTGACCAAATACACTGAATGCACTGAATGCATGCTTTCTGCTGATGTCTGGCATTGACATGCATGCACATGCCCGCTTCCTTTCTCATAAGGCAGGCTCTGAATACTGACGACCAATTTCCAAATCTGCCGTAGCCGTTGACATTCAGATCTTGTCCCAGGGAGATTTCGCCTGTGAAGTACACATCAGAGTCAAAAGCAAATGGCTCTCATGTCAAGCTGCCCAACAACCATCTGAGAGAATGACCGCTTTGTTTCAGCGCACTGCGGATTGCGAGCGGAACACCTAAGTGCAGCTGGGTCGGCACTGCAAGTGTGCTGGGCTAGCTTCCAAATCAACACCTGGCCTGGGCTTACACAGTCCAGGGCCATCATGCTGCTCCCCGTGCACGCGCAGCCAGACCTCGATACTCAAGCACACATCTTCCAGGCCGTCAAAGCGCCTTTGAGTCAATCCCATTCGCGTTTGCTGGCCCCACTGAATTGACATGGGCCCGCACGGTGGCAAAGCAGATCCCATTCGAGTGGGAGATTGAAGCAGCAAAGGCGGACCAGGTCTCAAGAGGTCCAGCCTGGGATGCAAATGGCCCAAGTGGCCCTGCTTTTGCCCAGACTTGCCACGTGACCATGTCTGTGCGACTCCAAATCATCCTTGGAAGCCGGCACCAAAATTGCCAGCTCCACGCGCGCGCAAGATTGTATCAGCAGTAAGGCATCCGGATGAGCCACATCAGCGACCTCGAAACACATTGCTTGACACACCTGTTTCGTCTGTTCAGGCCTACCAAAGTACAAACGCAGAAAGGCGAACCTGTTGACACTAGTCCAGGAGTCGCGCCGAGGACGACGAGTCAACTCGTGTGCAGCCAAGCGTGGGCAGGCTCGGCCTGGCACAGCTGTAAGAAGAGTCATCGGAAAACGGACTCATGAATTCACATTACAGAAAAAGGCGTTCCATGCTCCGTAAGCCTACATCCTCCACGTCGTTACTTCCAAAAAAACTGTGCATGAAGGTGCTTCCCCCCCACAAAGATCCAAATTATACTTGAGTCATTTCCATGGTTTGAAAGTGCCCTGCTCCTGAGAGCCTCACGCTGGCTTGGCAAAGTTCCGCGACGACAAAGGCAAGCCAGCTGATGCGAACGTGAAAACCTAGGGCAAACGTTGAAGGTGACAGTATTTGCATGTTCAGGTTCAAATCCGATTCAACTGGTCTGTGCACAGCACTGAGACAGCAAATCCCAGCTGAGCTGAGGATTGCAAAGACATCGAGAGTTCGGACCTCAAATACACATCTGGAACTGAATGATTGTCACAAAGAAATGACTGCTTCTCGCAATGTTGTCCCGAACAGGAAAGACTTCTCGCGCACAAGCAATCAAGCACCGCCATCATCCAAGAGCCATGTACGACATACTAGTTGCTGGCTAAATACCTAAGCAATTGTTGATCGATCCTGGGTCTACTGTGAGGCTCCAGCTGTGAAAGAGCGAGAACGAGTGATAAAGATCCGCAGCAAGACGTCCTGATCAAACTGCGAATCTAAAAACACCCTGTCACCTCCAACCAAAACCTCTTGGGCTTGTGCACGTGTTGAGTTCTGGTGCATGCTCGGCTGTTTTGTGAATGTGCTTGTGCATGTCTGCACGTGCGCGTGCGCGTGGGCGTGCGTGTTTGTGCGTTTGTGTGTTTTGTGTGTTTTGTGTGTGTTTGTGCATTTGTGTTTGCATGTGTTTCTGTGTGTCTGTGTTTGCGCGTGTACCTGCTTAAGAGTTTGCATGGCTGCCTGCTTGCATGTTCGTGCTTCCGTGCTTGTGTGCTTGTGGGTTTGTAGGTTTGAGGGTTGTGTGCATGCATTTGCGTTTTGTGTGTGTGTGTGTGTTCGTTTGTTTGTGTGTGTGTGTGCGTATGTTTGCGTTTGGGCCTTTGAGTGGTTTGTGTATGTGTGTTGGCGTGCTTGTGCATTTCCGTGTTTTGTTGTCCTTGCGTGCATGTGCGTTCGTGCGATTGAGTGTTTGCATGTTTGCGCGGGAACTGGAAAGAAACACCGAACAAACCGCTATTCTGGAGCACTGGTCTTCTGTTGCCAACACGCATGACTTCACGCTGCAAGTACTAATCCTCCGCAGGGGAAGCAGCAGCCCAAAGGAGACAAAGTCCAAAACAGAAGCCACAGCACCTTCATTCGGAGACACGAAGCATGACAATCATGCCCCAAAATATAGGCAAGTCGACATTCTTCAGTCTTCTGGTGAAGCTGTTCTGCCAGGCCTGGCTGAGCAGGTCCACGTGGTGTCGGCGGCAAGTCAAGCCTGGTTGAACAAGCAACAAAGAAGGAGTCACTCCGTCAGGACGTGATTGTTCCGGCTCAGCACCAGGCCCGGCAAAGTCCAAAGCCGGAGCAAGGAGGCCTAACACATCCCCTCGTGTGATTTCTGTACTACATAGTGGTCAAGGAGAACCAGTGCATTGACCTCCGCTGTACCTCTTTAAACAAGCTTCAGCACAACCTGCATACATGACACGGCGAGGCACACAAAATAGTCAACCCTAAGCCCCCAGCCAGTGCGGCTAGAGCTTCTAGCTGCAAGAGCCACTTCAAGTTGCGTATTATCCGATGCAGACGGCAAAAGTCCAGACCTTTGACTGGTGACTCATTCGCACCACTGCTCGCTATCTCTCTCTCTGTCTCTCTCTCCCTGCAATCAAGCCCGCGGCCGTCCACACCCGAGGAAGAAAAGCGATGCGCCCAGTCAAGCCGACTGTCGAAGCATAAGAGAGGAACCAGCAGCACTGTAGCCTGCCCACATGCACCGGCAACTCGCCCACACTTGTGGCAGGCATCACTGTGCTCACACAAAGTATACTGCATTTCGGGTCCGCCTGGGACTGGTGCAACAAAACCGGGTCAGGCGGAGGTTTGTGAAGCTGCAGGCGAGCCAAGCCTTGCAGCCCATTCTTTTCTCGGCAAACGCCGAGTGTGACTTCACGTAGCACAGAAAAGGGGCATCTCAGGCAGAAACATTAAAAAGTCCACGGCAGAGGGCGAGCTATCGACATGCGACAGCCCACAAGCTGGCAAGGAGGAGCCCAATCAGGCCATCCTGATGAGCACAGTTGACAGGCTTGACTCTGTGCTGCAACATGAGATGGCAGCTCTGAGCGCTCTCCTATGCGATGGCAGCAGCAGACCCAGGCCAGCCACGTCCAACGCAGCCAGAAAAGTGCCTGGATGGGTCAAGGCCATGACCGCCAGGGAGGCGTCCGCACGTGCGCAGCCTCGGACCAGCGTGTCTAAGTCATGCACCGGTTGTGAAGTCAACCAACGTGGGCTGGGCTCAGAGAGTACGCGAGTCCAAGGTGGCGGCTATGTAGTGGCAAGCTTGGCGCGAGGTGCGTTGAGTCAAGAGCGGGCACCAATAGGTCAAACCTGCAAGAATCCAGCAAGGTGTTTCCGCATTCCTTCACAGAGCCGACCTGCCTTGCAAATGACCTCGCTGGCATTGTCGATGCAAGATTGGAATAACCTTGCATTGCAAGTAAGTGTTTGACCAAATACACTGAATGCACTGAATGCATGCTTTCTGCTGATGTCTGGCATTGACATGCATGCACATGCCCGCTTCCTCTCTCATAAGGCAGGCTCTGAATACTGACGACCAATTTCCAAATCTGCCGTAGCCGTTGACATTCAGATCTTGTCCCAGGGAGATTTCGCCTGTGAAGTACACATCAGAGTCAAAAGCAAATGGCTCTCATGTCAAGCTGCCCAACAACCATCTGAGAGAATGACCGCTTTGTTTCAGCGCACTGCGGATTGCGAGCGGAACACCTAAGTGCAGCTGGGTCGGCACTGCAAGTGTGCTGGGCTAGCTTCCAAATCAACACCTGGCCTGGGCTTACACTGTCCAGGGCCATCATGCTGCTCCCCGTGCACGCGCAGCCAGACCTCGATACTCAAGAACCCACACATCTTCCAGGCCGTCGAAGCGCCTTTGAGTCAATCCCATGCGCGTTTGCTGGCCCCACTGAATTGACATGGGCCCGCACGGTGGCAAAGCAGATCCCATTCGAGTGGGAGATTGAAGCAGCAAAGGCGGACCAGGTCTCAAGAGGTCCAGCCTGGGATGCAAATGGCCCAAGTGGCCCTGCTTTTGCCCAGACTTGCCACGTGACCATGTCTGTGCGACTCCAAATCATCCTTGGAAGCCGGCACCAAAATTGCCAGCTCCACGCGCGCGCAAGATTGTATCAGCAGTAAGGCATCCGGATGAGCCACATCAGCGACCTCGAAACACATTGTTTGACACACTTGTTTCGTCTGTTCAGGCCTACCAAAGTACAAACGCAGAAAGGCGAACCTGTCTGTTGACACTAGTCCAGGAGTCGCGCCGAGGACGACGAGTCAACTCGTGTGCAGCCAAGCGTGGGCAGGCTCGGCCTGGCACAGCTGTAAGAAGAGTCATCGGAAAACGGACTCATGAATTCACATTGGCAACTACAGAAAAAGGCGTTCCATGCTCCGTAAGCCTACATCCTCCACGTCGTTACTTCCAAAAAGACTGTGCATGAAGGTGCTTCCCGCCCACAAAGATCCATTGAAATTATATTTGAGTCATTTCCATGGTTTGAAAGTGCCCTGTTCCTGAGAGCCTCACGCTGGCTTGGCAAAGTTCCGCGACGACAGAGGCAAGCCAGCTGATGCGAATGTGAAAACCTAGGGCAAACGTTCAAGGTGGCAATATTTGCATGTTCAGGTTCAAATCCGATTCAACTGGTCTGTGCGCAGCACTGAGGCAGCGAATCCCAGCTGAGCTGAGGATTGCAAAGACATCGAGAGTTCGGACCTCAAATACACATCTGGAACTGAATGATTGAGAAAAGACTTCTCACGCACAAGCAATCAAGCACCGCCATCATCCAAGTGCCATGTACGACATACTAGTTGCTGGCTAAATGCCTAAGCAATTGTTGATCGATCCTGGGTCTACTGTGAGGCTCCAGCTGTGAAAGAGCGAGAACGAGTGATAAAGATCCGCAGCAAGACGTCCTGATCAAACTGCGAATCTAAAAACACCCTGTCACCTCTAACCAAAACCTCTTGGGCTTGTGCACGTGTTGAGTTCTGGTGCGTGCTCGGCTGTTTTGTGAATGTGCTTGTGCATGTTTGCACGTGCGCGAGCGCGTGGGCGTGCGTGTTTGTGCGTTTGTGTGTTTTGTGCGTTTTGTGTGTTTGTGCATTTGTGTTTGCATGTGTTTCTGTGTTTGTGTGCTTGCGCGTGTACCTGCTTAAGAGTTTGCATGGTTGCGTGCTTGCATGTTTGTGCTTCCGTGCTTGTGTGCTTGTGGGTTTGTGGGTTTGAGGGTTGTGCGCAAGCATTTGCGTTTTGTGTGTGTGTGTGTGTGTTCGTTTGTGTGTGTGTGCGTATGTTTGCGTTTGGGCCTTTGAGTGGTTTGTGTATGTGTGTTGGCGTGCTTGTGCATTTCCGTGTTTTGTTGTCCTTGCGTGCATGTGCGTTCGTGCGATTGAGTGTTTGCATGTTTGCGCGGGAACTGGAAAGAAACACCGAACAATCCGCTATTCTGGAGCACTGGTCTTCTGTTGCCAACACGCATGACTTCACGCTGCAAGTAGCAATCCTCCGCAGGGGAAGCAGCAGCCCAAAGGAGACAAAGTCCAAAACAGAAGCCACAGCACCTTCATTCGGAGACACGAAGCATGACAATCATGCCCCAAAATATAGGCAAGTCGACATTCTTCAGTCTTCTGGTGAAGCTGTTCTGCCAGGCCTGGCTGAGCAGGTCCACGTGGTGTCGGCGGCAAGTCAAGCCTGGTTGAACAAGCAACAAAGAAGGAGTCACTCCGTCAGGACGTGATTGTTCCGGCTCAGCACCAGGCCCGGCAAAGTCCAAAGCCGGAGCAAGGAGGCCTAACACATCCCCTCGTGTGATTTCTGTACTACATAGTGGTCAAGGAGAACCAGTGCATTGACCTCCGCTGTACCTCTTTAAACAAGCTTCAGCACAACCTGCATACATGACACGGCGAGGCACACAAAATAGTCAACCCTAAGCCCCCAGCCAGTGCGGCTAGAGCTTCTAGCTGCAAGAGCCACTTCAAGTTGCGTATTATCCGATGCAGACGGCAAAAGTCCAGACCTTTGACTGGTGACTCATTCGCACCACTGCTCGCTATCTCTCTCTCTGTCTCTCTCTCCCTGCAATCAAGCCCGCGGCCGTCCACACCCGAGGAAGAAAAGCGATGCGCCCAGTCAAGCCGACTGTCGAAGCATAAGAGAGGAACCAGCAGCACTGTAGCCTGCCCACATGCACCGGCAACTCGCCCGCACTTGTGGCAGGCATCACTGTGCTCACACAAAGAATACTGCATTTCGGGTCCGCCTGGGACTGGTGCAACAAAACCGGGTCAGGCGGAGGTTTGTGAAGCAGCAGGCGAGCCAAGCCTTGCAGCCCATTCTTTTCTCGGCAAACGCCGAGTGTGGCTTCACGTAGCACAGAAAAGGGGCATCTCAGGCAGAAACATTAAAAAGTCCACGGCAGAGGGCGAGCTATCGAAACGCGACAGCCCACATGCTGGCAAGGAGGAGCCCAATCAGGCCATCCTGATGAGCACAGTTGACAGGCTTGACTCTGTGCTGCAACATGAGATGGCAGCTCTGAGCGCTCTCCTATGCGATGGCAGCAGCAGACCCAGGCCAGCCACGTCCAACGCAGCCAGAAAAGTGCCTAGATGGGTCAAGGCCATGACCGCCAGGGAGGCGTCCGCACGTGCGCAGCCTCGGACCAGCGTGTCTAAGTCATGCACCGGTTGTGAAGTCAACCAACGTGGGCTGGGCTCAGAGAGTACGCGAGTCCAAGGTGGCGGCTATGTAGTGGCAAGCTTGGCGCGAGGTGCGTTGAGTCAAGAGCGGGCACCAATAGGTCAAACCTGCAAGAATCCAGCAAGGTGTTTCCGCATTCCTTCACAGAGCCGACCTGCCTTGCAAATGACCTCGCTGGCATTGTCGATGCAAGATTGGAATAACCTTGCATTGCAAGTAAGTGTTTGACCAAATACACTGAATGCACTGAATGCATGCTTTCTGCTGATGTCTGGCATTGACATGCATGCACATGCCCGCTTCCTTTCTCATAAGGCAGGCTCTGAATACTGACGACCAATTTCCAAATCTGCCGTAGCCGTTGACATTCAGATCTTGTCCCAGGGAGATTTCGCCTGTGAAGTACACATCAGAGTCAAAAGCAAATGGCTCTCATGTCAAGCTGCCCAACAACCATCTGAGAGAATGACCGCTTTGTTTCAGCGCACTGCGGATTGCGAGCGGAACACCTAAGTGCAGCTGGGTCGGCACTGCAAGTGTGCTGGGCTAGCTTCCAAATCAACACCTGGCCTGGGCTTACACTGTCCAGGGCCATCATGCTGCTCCCCGTGCACGCGCAGCCAGACCTCAATACTCAAGAACCCACACATCTTCCAGGCCGTCGAAGCGCCTTTGAGTCGAATCCCATTCGCGTTTGCTGGCCCCACTGAATTGACATGGGCCCGCACGGTGGCAAAGCAGATCCCATTCGAGTGGGAGATTGAAGCAGCAAAGGCGGACCAGGTCTCAAGAGGTCCAGCCTGGGATGCAAATGGCCCCACTGCTTTTGCCCGAACTTGCCACGTGACCATGTCTGTGCGACTCCAAATCATTCTTGGAAGCCGGCACCAAGATTGGCAGCTCCGCACGCGCGCAAGATTGTAGCAGCAGTAAGGCATCCGGATGAGCCACATCAGCGACCTCGAAACACATTGTTTGACACACTTGTTTCGTCTTTTCAGGCCTACCAAAATAGAAAGCACAAAGGCGAACCTGTTGACACTAGTCCAGGAGTCGCGCCGAGGACGACGAGTCAACTCGTGTGCAGCCAAGCGTGGGCAGGCTCGGCCTGGCACAGCTGTAAGAAGAGTCATCGGAAAACGGACTCATGAATTCACATTGGCAACTACAGAAAAAGGCGTTCCATGCTCCGTAAGCATACATCCTCCACGTCGTTACTTCCAAAAAAACTGTGCATGAAGGTGCTTCCCCCCCACAAAGAACCAAATTATACTTGAGTCATTTCCATGGTTTGAAAGTGCCCTGTTCCTGAGAGCCTCACGCTGGCTTGGCAAAGTTCCGCGACGACAGAGGCAAGCCAGCTGATGCGAATGTGAAAACCTAGGGCAAACGTTCAAGGTGGCAATATTTGCATGTTCAGGTTCAAATCCGATTCAACTGGTCTGTGCGCAGCACTGAGGCAGCGAATCCCAGCTGAGCTGAGGATTGCAAAGACATCGAGAGTTCGGACCTCAAATACACATCTGGAACTGAATGATTGAGGAAAGACTTCTCACGCACAAGCAATCAAGCACCGCCATCATCCAAGTGCCATGTACGACATACTAGTTGCTGGCTAAATGCCTAAGCAATTGTTGATCGATCCTGGGTCTACTTTGAGGCTCCAGCTGTGAAAGAGCGAGAACGAGTGATAAAAATCCGCAGCAAGACGTCCTGATCAAACTGCGAATCTAAAAACACCCTGTCACCTCCAACCAAAACCTCTTGGGCTTGTGCACGTGTTGAGTTCTGGTGCGTGCTCGGCTGTTTTGTGAATGTGCTTGTGCATGTCTGCACGTGCGCGTGCGCGTGGGCGTGCGTGTTTGTGCGTTTGTGCGTTTGTGTGTTTTGTGTGTTTGTGCATTTGTGTTTGCATGTGTTTCTGTGTTTGTGTGTTTGCGCGTGTACCTGCTTAAGAGTTTGCATGGTTGCGTGCTTGCATGTTTGTGCTTCCGTGCTTGTGCTTGTGGGTTTGTGGTTTTGAGGGTTGTGCGCATTTGCATGTGTGTGTGTGTGTGTGTGTGTGTGTGTGTGTGTGTGTGTGTGTGTGTGTGTGTGTGTGTGTGTGTGTGTGTGTGTGTGTGTGTGTGTGTGTGTGTGTGTGTGTGTGTGTGTGTGTGTGTGTGTGTGTGTGTGTGTGTGTGTGTGTGTGTGTGTGTGTGTGTGTGTGTGTGTGTGTGTGTGTGTGTGTGTGTGTGTGTGTGTGTGTGTGTGTGTGTGTGTGTGTGTGTGTGTGTGTGTGTGTGTGTGTGTGTGTGTGTGTGTGTGTGTGTGTGTGTGTGTGTGTGTGTGTGTGTGTGTGTGTGTGTGTGTGTGTGTGTGTGTGTGTGTGTGTGTGTGTGTGTGTGTGTGTGTGTGTGTGTGTGTGTGTGTGTGTGTGTGTGTGTGTGTGTGTGTGTGTGTGTGTGTGTGTGTGTGTGTGTGTGTGTGTGTGTGTTCGTTTGTTTGTGTGTGTGCGTATGTTTGCGTTTGGGCCTTTGAGTGGTTTGTGTATGTGTGTTGGCGTGCTTGTGCATTTCCGTGTTTTGTTGTCCTTGCGTGCATGTGCGTTCGTGCGATTGAGTGTTTGCATGTTTGCGCGGGAACTGGAAAGAAACACCGAACAATCCGCTATTCTGGAGCACTGGTCTTCTGTTGCCAACACGCATGACTTCACGCTGCAAGTAGCAATCCTCCGCAGGGGAAGCAGCAGCCCAATGGAGACAAAGTCCAAAACAGAAGCCACAGCACCTTCATTCGGAGACACGAAGCATGACAATCATGCCCCAAAATATAGGCAAGTCGACATTCTTCAGTCTTCTGGTGAAGCTGTTCTGCCAGGCCTGGCTGAGCAGGTCCACGTGGTGTCGGCGGCAAGTCAAGCCTGGTTGAACAAGCAACAAAGCAGGAGTCACTCCGTCAGGATGTGATTGTTCCGGCTCAGCACCAGGCCCGGCAAAGTCCAAAGCCGGAGCAAGGAGGCCTAACACATCCCCTCGTGTGATTTCTGTACTACATAGTGGTCAAGGAGAACCAGTGCATTGACCTCCACTGTACCTCTTTAAACAAGCTTCAGCAATAAACCTGTATACATGACACAAGAGCACACAAATAGTCAACCCAAGTTTCTCCCAGCCAGTGCGCTAGAGCTTCGTAGCTGCAAGAGCCACTTCAAGTCGCGCATTATCCGATGCAGACGGCAAAAGTCCAGACCTTTGACTGGTGACTCATTCGCACCACTGCTCGCTATCTCTCTCTCTGTCTCTCTCTCCCTGCAATCAAGCCCGCGGCCGTCCACACCCGAGGAAGAAAAGCGACGCACCCAGTCAAGCCGACTGTCGAAGCATAAGAGAGGAACCAGCAGCACTGTAGCCTGCCCACATGCACCGGCAACTTGCGCGCACTTGTGGCAGCCATGACTGTGCTCACAGCTCGCACAAAGAACGGGCCTGCCTGGGACTGGTGCAACAAAACCGGGTCATGCGGAAGATCGTGAAGCTGCGGGCGAGCCAAGCCTTGCAGCCCATTCTTTCTCGGCACACGCCGAGTGTGACTTCACGTAGCACAGAAAAGGGGCATCTCAGGCAGAAACATTAAAAAGTCCACGGCAGAGGGCGAGCTATCGAAACGCGACAGCCCACATGCTGGCAAGGAAGATCCCAATCAGGCCATCCTGATGAGCACAGTTGACAGGCTTGACTCTGTGCTGCAACATGAGATGGCAGCTCTGAGCGCTCTCCTATGCGATGGCAGCAGCAGACCCAGGCCAGCCACGTCCAACGCAGCCAGAAAAGTGCCTAGATGGGTCAAGGCCATGACCGCCAGGGAGGCGTCCGCACGTGCGCAGCCTCGGACCAGCGTGTCTAAGTCATGCACCGGTTGTGAAGTCAACCAACGTGGGCTGGGCTCAGAGAGTACGCGAGTCCAAGGTGGCGGCTATGTAGTGGCAAGCTTGGCGCGAGGTGCGTTGAGTCAAGAGCGGGCACCAATAGGTCAAACCTGCAAGAATCCAGCAAGGCAGCTTCAAGATTCCTTCACAGAGCCGACCTGCCTTGCAATGACCCTCGCTGCATTGTCGGCAAGATTGGAATAACCTGCATTGCAAGCAAGTGTTTGACCAAATACACTGAATGCACTGAATGCATGCTTTCTGCTGATGTCTGGCATTGACAGCATGCACATGCCCGCTTCCCTTTCACAAGGCAGGCTCTGAATACTGACGACCACCTCCAAATCTGCCGAGTCGTTGACACTGGGATCTTGTCTCAGGAACACGAAGGCTGGCAGAGTCAAAAGCAAATGGCTCTCATGTCAAGCTGCCCAACAACCATCTGAGAGAATGACCGCTTTGTTTCAGCGCACTGCGGATTGCGAGCGGAACACCTTAGTGCAGCTGGGTCGGCGCCGCAAGTGTGCTGGGCATAGCTTCCACATGAACACCTGGCCTGGGCTTACACAGTCCAGGGCCATCATGCTGCTCCCCGTGCACACGCAGCCAGACCTTAATACTCAAGAACCCACATATCTTCCAGGCCGTCGAAGCGCCTTTGAGTCGAATCCCATTCGCGTTTGCTGGCCCCACTGAATTGACATGGGCCCGCACAGTGGCAAAGCAGATCCCACTCGACTGGAAGATTGAAGCAGCAAAGGCGGACCAGGTCTCAAGAGGTCCAGCCTGGGATGCAAATGGCCCCACTGCTTTTGCCCGAACTTGCCACGTGACCATGTCTGTGCGACTCCAAATCATCCTTGGAAGCCGGCACCAAGATTGGCAGCTCCGCACGCGCGCAAGATTGTAGCAGCAGTAAGGCATCCGGATGAGCCACATCAGCGACCTCGAAACACATTGTTTGACACACTTGTTTCGTCTTTTCAGGCCTACCAAAATAGAAAGCACAAAGGCGAACCTGTTGACACTAGTCCAGGCGTCGCGCCGAGGATGAAGAGTCAACTCGCGTGCAGCCAAGCGTGGGCAGGCTCGGCCTGGCACAGCCGCGAGGAAGAGTCATCCGAAAACGGACACATGAATTCACATTGGCAACTACAGAAAAAGGCGTTCCATGCTCCGCAAGCATACATCCTCCACGTCGTTACTTCCAAAAAAACTGTGCATGAAGGTGCTTCCCCCCCACAAAGAACCAAATTATACTTGAGTCATTTCCATGGTTTGAAAGTGCCCTGTTCCTGAGAGCCTCACGCTGGCTTGGCAAAGTTCCGCGACGACAGAGGCAAGCCAGCTGGCTTTTAATGTGAAAACCTAGGGCAAACGCTCAAGGTGGCAATATTTGCATGTTCAGGTTCAAACTGATTAACTGGTCTGTGCGCAGTGACTGGGGCAGTTTCAACCTGCTGAGCTGAGGATTGCAAAGACATCGAGAGTTCGGACCTCAAATACACATCTGGAACTGAATGATTGTCACAAAGAAATGACTGCTTCTCGCAATGTTATCCCAAACCAGGATGGACTGCTCAAGCACAAGCAATCAAGCATCGCCATCATCCAAGTGTCGTGTTCGACATGCTAGTTGCTGGCTAAATACCTAAACAATCCTGCTGTTGATCGATCCTGAGTCCACTGTGAGGTTCCAGCTGTGCAAGAGCGAGAACAAGCGGCGAAGACCCGCACCTAGACGTCCTGATCAAACTGCGAATCCAAAAACCCCCGGTCACTTCCAAACTGTGGCCTGTGGAGGGACGAGAAAGCATCCAAATACGCAAGACCAAGGGCTGGAGCTGGCAATCCTGGCAGCATTGATGGCTGGCAAAGTTCATGCCAGCAAGACATCCAACGCTGCACGTGCGCTGGGGCCCTGACCAGAGCAAGCAGAGCTGCGCAAGGGCACAAAGAATCCGCATTGCACTAGGTCCAATGCGGGTGGCAAAAGTCCAAGCCTTAGATGAGGAACTGCTGACTAGCTGTCGGAGAGTCTGTACTCTATGCTAAGCGCGGGTCCATCCACAACTCATCAAGGGCAACAGCACGTCCAAACAGGCTGGTCCACGCAAAGGCGGGGTGGATCCAGCGCTGCTCAGGCCTAGCTTGCAAAAGCCGAAACTGCAGTATGGACATCCTGAAAGCGTGTGCATCTCTGCTTGCGCCTGAAACAAAGATCGGGAGCTCCGGCCAGCCAAATCCACGCAGGGCCATCAATGGTCCAGAACTTGGAACATCGCATAGTCAGAATGCGGGCATGTCTCGTTTAGGGGACCCCGCAAAATGGTGGTGTTCCTTTTGGCGTCCCTTTTAAAACCACCAAAAAAGGGCTACCCGCAAAAAAGACACACCCGAATGTCCCGAGTTACTCGCAGCTTGTCTCCAGACCTGAGACGCCCGACGTCACGAGCTCCAGGAGAGACATCGAGGAGACCGTACAACCAGAGCACAAAGATGATGATAGACCCAAGCAACAAATCCTCACTCCACTCAGATGCGATCGAGCTTTGCGTGCAAGTGCTGCTCATGTGACCTGCATATGAACACATAAGTTGCTTATTGTGCCTCGGTAATCGAGCAATGTTGCCGTTTGACACAAAAGCATTTCTCGTCAGCAAAGCACACAAGGTCAAGCAGTTGAAATTCCCGAAAACCTCATTGTCACCAGAACTGCTGCTTCTCAAGACTCCCCTGCATCTCTTGCTCTTTGGACCACTCGTAGGAACGGGAAAGAAACACCGAACAAACCGCTATTCTGGAGCGCTGATCTTCTGTTGCCAACAGGCATGATTTCACCCTGCAAGTACCAGTCCTCCGCAGGGGCAGCAGCAGCCCAATGGAGACAAAGTCCAAAACAGAAGCCACAGCACCTTCATTCGGAGACACGAAGCATGACAATCATGCCCCAAAATATAGGCAAGTCGACATTCTTGAGTCTCTGGTGCAAGCTGTTCTGTCAGGCCTAGCTAAGCAGGTCCACGTGGTGTCAGCGACAAGTCAAGCCTGGTTGAACAAGCAACAAAGCAGGAGTCACTCCGTCAGGATGGGATTGTTCCGGCTCAGCACCAGGCCCGGCAAAGTCCAATGCTGGAGCAAGGAGGCCTAACACATCCCAAAGCGACAATGCATCTCAGCCTCGTCTGAATTAAACGTTTGTTATTTGACGTCAGGAGCACCGCATATTCAACCTTAAGCCGCTTAAGCCCCCAGCCAGTGCGGCTAGAGCTTCTAGCTGCAAGAGCCACTTCAAGTTGCGTATTGTCCGATGCAGACGGCAAAAGTCCAGACCTTTGAGCGGTAACTCATTCGCACCACTGCTCTCTCTCTCTCTCTCTCTCTCCCCCTGCAATCAAGCCCGCGGCCGTCCACACCCGAGGGAGAAAAGCGACGCACCCAGTCAAGCCGACTGTCGAAGCATAAGCGAGGAACCAGCAGCACTGTAGCCTGCCCACATGCACCGGCAACTTGAGCTCACATATGGCAGCCATCACTGTGCACACACAAAGAATGCTGCATTTGGGGCCTGCCTAGCACTGATGCAGCAAAACCGGGTCAGGCGGAAGATTGTGAAGCTGCGGGCGAGCCAAGCCTTGCAGCCCATTCTCTACTTGGCACACGCCGAGTGTGACTTCAGGGAGCACGGAAACATCTCAGGCAGAAACATTAAAAAGTCCACGGCAGAGGGCGAGCTATCGAAACGCGACAGCCCACATGCTGGCAAGGAGGAGCCCAATCAGGCCATCCTGATGAGCACAGTTGACATGCTTGACTCTGTGCTGCAACATGAGATGGCAGCTCTGAGGGCTCTCCTATGCAATGGCAGCAGCAGACCCAGGCCAGCCACATCCAAGGCAGCCAGAAAAGTGCCTGGATGGGTCAAGGCCATGACCGCCAGGGAGGCGTCCGCACGTGCGCAGCCTCGGACCAGCGTGTCTAAGTCATGCACCGGCTGTGAATTCAACCAACCTGGGCTCAGAGAGTACGCGAGTCCAAGGTGGCGGCTATGTAGTGGCAAGCTTGGCGCGAGGTGCGTTGAGTCAAGAGCGGGCACCAATAGGTCAAACCTGCAAGAATCCAGCAAGGTGTTTCCGCATTCCCTCACCTGTGCCACTGCCGACCTGCCTTGCAAATGACCTCGCTGGCACTGTCGATGCAAGATTGGAATAACCTTGCATTGCAAGTAAGTTTTTCGCCAAATACACTGAATGCACTGAATGCATGCTTTCTGCTGATGTCTGGCATTGACATGCATGCACATGCCCGCTTCCTTTCTCATAAGGCAGGCTCTGAATACTGACGACCAATTTCCAAATCTGCCGTAGCCGTTGACATTCAGATCTTGTCCCAGGGAGATTTCGCCTGTGAAGTACACATCAGAGTCAAAAGCAGAAGGCTCTCATGTCAAGCTGCCCAAAAACTGGGAGAATGACCGCTTTGTTTCAGCGCACCGCGGATTGCGAGCGGAACACCTTAGTGCAGCTGGGTCGGCGCCGCAAGTGTGCTGGGCATAGCTTCCACATGAACACCTGGCCTGGGCTTGCACAGTCCAGGGGCATCAGGCTGCTCCCCGTGCACACGCAGCCAGACCTTAAAACCCAAGAACCCACATATCTTCCAGGCCGTCGAAGCGCCTTTGAGTCGAATCCCATTCGCGTTTGCTGGCCCCACTGAATTGACATGGGCCCGCACAGTGGCAAAGCAGATCCCACTCGACTGGAAGATTGAAGCAGCAAAGGCGGACCAGGTCTCAAGAGGTCCAGCCTGGGATGCAAATGGCCCCAGTTGCCCTGCTTTTGCCCGGACTTGCCACGTGACCATGTCTGTGCGACTCTAAATGATTCTTGGAAGCCGGCACCAAAATTGCCAGCTCCACACGCGCGCAAGATTGTAGCAGCAGCAAGGCATCCAGGTGAGCCGCATCAGCGACCTCGAAACACATCCTTGAGGCCTACCAAAATAGAAACACAGAAAGGCGAACCTGTTGACACTAGTCCAGGAGGCGCGCCGAGGACGACGAGTCAACTCGTGTGCAGCCAAGCGTGGGCAGGCTCGGCCTGGCACAGCCGCGAGGAAGAGTCATCCGAAAACGGACACATGAATTCACATTGGCAACTACAGAAAAAGACGTTCCATGCTCCGCAAGCATACATCCTCCACGTCGTTACTTCCAAAAAAACTGTGCATGAAGGTGCTTCCCCCCCACAAAGATCCATTCAAATTATACTTGAGTCATTTCCATGGTTTGAAAGTGCCCTGTTCCTGAGAGCCTCACGCTGGCTTGGCAAAGTTCCGCGACGACAGAGGCAAGCCAGCTGATGCGAACGTGAAAACCTAGGGCAAACGTTCAAGGTGGCAATATTTGCACGTTCAGGTTCAAATCCGATTCAACTGGTCTGTGCGCAGCACTGGGGCAGCCAATCCCGGCTGAGCTGAGGATTGCAAAGACATCGAGAGTTCGGACCTCAAATACACATCTGGAACTGAATGATTGTCACAAAGAAATGACTGCTTCTCGTAATGCTATCCCAAACAGGAAGGACTGCTCAAGCACAAGCAATCAAGCACCGCCATCATCCAAGTGTCGTGTTCGACATGCTAGTTGCTGGCTAAATACCTAAGCAATCCTGCTGTTGATCGATCCTGAGTCCTCTGTGAGGTTCCAGCTGTGCAAGAGCGAGAACAAGCGGCGAAGACCCGCACCTAGACGTCCTGATCAAACTGCGAATCCAAAAACACCCGGTCACTTCCAACTGTGGCCTGTGGAGTAGATGTTGCTTTGTGCATCCAACATGCACATTCAACAAAAAGGGTTGCGCCTAACAAGACCGATGGTAACAAGATTTGCCACAGCTGCACACGCTGTCTGTAAGGCACTCTCGCAAGGATGCTCTCACACGTGCGCCCTGTGCAAGGGCGATCCGACGACTAAGTTTGCTGTGCAAGCTGCCACCACAAGTCTACTGTTGCGCAGCGCGCTCTGCTCAGGAACTCATGCTTTCCGCAAACATGCTTCCACTGGCTTGGTCCGCTTTGCAGAAGGCCCCCATGTAACACCAAGCGCGCCCTGTCAAGTATGCGCTGCGCAAACGTGTTCTGTGGAATGCAATCTGCAAAAGTCTGCTTTGTGTCAGCCCGAGCTAAAGCGTGCCCTGCGCAAGCATGCTACTATTTTTCTATCTGCCCTGCAACCTGCAGTTTAAGTTTGCTCTGCACAAGTGAGCTGTAGCTCTGTTGCGGCATGCTTGCTTCGTGTAAAATCTGCTCTGTGCGTGCGCGCCGTGCAGAAGCCGCAGCTTGAACCAAGAAAATCCTTTGAACTATTCTGCGAACACTGATGTTGCTGAAGGGATGTCAGAACCTTCTTCTCCTGCGCAGATTCATGATTTCACCCTGCAAGTACCAGTCCTCCGCAGGGGCAGCAGCAGCCCAAAGGAGACAAAGTCCAACAGAAGCTACAGCACCTTCATTTCGTAGACACACAGTACGACAATAATGCCCCCAAAATATGTAGGCAAGTCGACATTCTTGAGTCTCTGGTGCAAGCTGTTCTGTCAGGCCTAGCTAAGCAGGTCCACGTGGTGTCAGCGACAAGTCAAGCCTGGTTGAACAAGCAACAAAGCAGGAGTTACTCCGTCAGGACGTGATTGTTCCGGCTCAGCACCAGGCCCGGCAAAGTCCAAAGCCGGAGCAAGGAGGCCTAACACATCCCCTCGTGTGATTTCTGTACTACATAGTGGTCAAGGAGAACCAGTGCATTGACCTCCACTGTACCTCTTTAAACAAGCTTCAGCACAACACCTATATACATGACACGGCGAGCCACACAAAATAGTCAACCCTAAGCCCCCAGCCAGTGCGGCTAGAGCTTCTAGCTGCAAGAGCCACTTCAAGTTGCGTACTGTCCGATGCAGACGGCAAAAGTCCAGACCTTTGACTGGTGACTCGTTCGCATCACTCCTCTCTCTCTCTCTCTGTCTCTCTCTCTCTCCCTGCAATCAAGCCCGCGGCCGTCCACACCCGAGGAAGAAAAGCGATGCACCCAGTCAAGCCGACTGTCGAAGCATAAGCGAGGAACCAGCAGCACTGTAGCCTGCCCACAGCACCGGCAACTTGAGCTCACATATGGCAGCCATCACTGTGCTCACACAAAGAATGCTGCATTTGGGGCCTGCCTAGCACTGATGCAGCAAAATCGGGTCAGGCGGAAGATTGTGAAGCTGCGGGCGAGCCAAGCCTTGCAGCCCATTCTCTACTTGGCACACGCCGAGTGTGACTTCAGGGAGCACGGAAACATCTCAGGCAGAAACATTAAAAAGTCCACGGCAGAGGGCGAGCTATCGAAACGCGTCAGCCCACATGCTGGCAAGGAGGAGCCCAATCAGGCCATCCTGATGAGCACAGTTGACATGCTTGACTCTGTGCTGC